CTGCACTGTATCTAATTGCATATTGTTAATGGTAGCTGTTAATCTTATCCTGAAAAGGGTAAAACGTTAGCTGAAATAAAGTTATATTGCATGAAATGTATGATGCAATGTAGTTGTTTTATCAGTGTTTATGATATGTGGATGCAATGTATGCGCATGTAAGTTGATTTGCTGTTTGATCAAGGAAAATAAATCCTTGAATGCTGTTGAGGATATGTTGAATTTTCATGTTTTGAAGTTGAAGTACTGACGAACTCTTGTTGAGAGAAGTAGATTTTGTCGTGAGGGCAACACCATGTACTGTTTGTAAGATCTGTTTGGGGAATCCCGAGGAATTTGATGATTTCTACTGGGGATTAATAGATTGAGATTTGTTCCGCTGGGGATTTAAATGACGTACTGTGGGGATTACTCATGGAATAGCCTAGAGACGTTTTCCTGTCCTTTCAACCTATCAGTAATTGTCTTTCTCATTTTGTTTATTTGTAACAGTAATTATGTTCAAATGCATATGTTCATCAATGAATCATTGGACGTTTTTTGCAAACAAAACACAAGAGTAAAGAAAAGACAAATAGTTTTTTTTTTGTATTTTTAAAGAGATATCTTTGTATTGACTTTGAATAAGTATTTTGTACAAAGGAGACAAACATTCTAGTAAGAGAACGGTGTCATAAAACAAGAAAATTTTATACAAAGAAAGATAGTTATGTGTAATAATCCCATGGGGTTCCCATTCTGCTATAGCCTTTATATCTCTGAATATCTTGTCTATTTGTTGCTTTGTCCAAAGATGATTAAATTGATCAGAAACTCCGAGTTTGTCAGTGGAGGTCAAAGGTTGTCTGTAAGTGATCTGACGGGACATAGTCATACGCTTTAATTCCCTAACTTTTGCCTGGACCGCCTTTTCGGGTTTTCAATCCACCGGGAAACCCTTTTTTTGCCCAAGTTGCCCTTTTGGATTTTCAACTTGCCGGGTGTACAGTTTTTCTAATTCACAGGTAAATCCGTAGACAATTAGAAAAAGTAAAAAAAATATAGGAGACACCAATTCAAGTGGCGCCTCCTCTTTAATCTATTTTTTTGGTTTTAAACATGATTAGATTGGAAATTATGGAGAAAATTGGTTAGTTGGATATTAAAATTGAAAATTTTGGTTATTTGAAAAAAAGTTTCACAAAAATTTATAAATTCCAAAAATATGAGAACAGTGTCCTTTCAAAGTACTTGTAAAGGGAATTTCATGTTTTATGGAATATTCCCCACTCTTTCCATCCATCACCCCCGACCCTAGTCCTTTATGTCTAAACTGATTAAGTAATAAATGCATGTCTATCCACTACTTTACAATTTAGTTCTTTAAATCTAATTACTAAGCGCTATTGTAACATAGTAACATAGTAAACTTGTATTAACCCTAATATGATTAGAATCAAAATTAAACACATTTATGGCATATGACAATAAATTAAATGAACTAAACATGACAAAAACCATATTTATTCATAATCACAAGACTATTTGTTCATGGAATTTTACGTGATCAAACAAATAGGATTAACACATAGTGAGAATTGCAAATATAGAATAATGAGGTATTAGATTTCACTTTCTTAAATAAATATGAATGAAATTGATTAACCTAAAGTAGCAACGACAATCAATTACAATCTTCTCATTACAGGTGATCTTTGGTGACGTGCCTCTCAAGGCCATCTTGCATATAACTGAATATGAGGAAGAAATATGATAAAAACTTGGGTACATCCCTTTTCTATGCTTTCTTAAAACTTCTCCTATCCTTCTTTTAATTCATTATTTTCTTTCCATTTACTTCTTTGCCTTTTGTTCTTTGGAATAACTACAATTTATACATCAACCTTGGCTCAACAATAAGGCATATTCCTTATTTTGAGGTAATAATATAAAAGCACACTACACGTGAGTGATAACTTTTGTTCTTTATTGCACCTTTTCACCTTTATCTATCCATTGACATTTCATCAAATATCATAACTATTTGGTTCTTCTTTAATCAAACTATAGTTTTGGTGTCACAACTTCAACCAACATTGTTTGGCACTTATGTTGGTCGAGAATTAACAGTTGAGTACTGTTATGACATCACTCATCATAAGAATTGATCTTGTGCACTATAAATAAAGTGAAATTCACATACTGGGCATTTATTGCTCTCAACTACAAATTATTACTAAATTCCTAAAAACACATAAAGTACTATTATTCGCGTATGATACAAGAGAAAAATTCAATCATTTAGGACTTAGATAACTCACATAAATGAAATTATCACCTTGATATCAGGGCTTCATACTTTACATGAATTTTGAAGCTTTTAAAGTTGGTGTTAAGTGCTTGATGTACATTAAGGTCTCAAAGTACTTCCAAAGTGACTTATGCCTCGTTTTCACTAATGTTGGACAATTATGTCAATAAAAACTTTCACAGTTATTTTCAGACGGAGATGTTATTTCGCTGCCATAAATTTTGCAAAGACTTGAGATTTGATTTATTCTCTTTCCTCTAATAAATCAAATAAATACAGATAATTTCATCAACCATGTTACCATCTTTCTCGACAATTTATGTTTTTGCATAGTCTTGATGAGAACATCACTTTTTGAAGATTTTTGGGGGTGTGAAAGGAAATAATACCTAAGTCTCCAAGTTGAAATTACTAGGGTGTATGACAATTTTTCCAATTTATGATATCACACCTTGATTCCTTGTATTACCTTTCTAAACTTATTGTGCCTTTAGTGGTTTCTAAGTAAAGAGTCAACTTTGCACATGAGGTTGGCTTGATCAATACCAAAGTTGATGACAAGAACTTCTTGATATTATTGAATTTTTTTTTTGCATTGGAGTGTACACATGATTTGTGACACCAAATGTATTAGAAAATTATCCAAAATTCTTGGGGTAAATTGAATCTCAGCGGATGTCACCTTCATGATTTACTTATTGATTTTAACCCCAACATAAGTTGCATGGTCAACATAGGATTTTAGTTGATTGAAAAGACTCAATTAAATCATAAGTATTTCATTGTGATAACTTGAGAAATTTACATTATTCTGATTTTGTTTAAATATCTTCGATTGATATGTTAACTCCTTGATTTATAAAATATTTTGTCACTACTCCATATATGAAACATGAGATTGTATTTTTCTTTTTGACTTATTAGTATTTTCAATGTTTATAGAATTGATATTTTTACAACTAAGATGGCATGATATGTTGAGGTTTATATGTTAAAGTGACCAAGTATGACGAGACTTACATATAGAGGTGGCATGTTGTGATCTCCATACCAAAGTGGAATGTTGAGGTATGCATGTCAATGTGACATGCTATATTATTTATATCAAGATGAAATTATTAGGTATCCATCTTGAGGTGGCTTGTTATGATAAGATATCCACAACAAGATAACTTGTTGATGACTCCATATTAAGGTGACATGTAGAGTTTTGAGGTTTGATGTGACTGTTGTGTTGAGGTTTAAGGTGACTTAATATGTTGAGGTCTAAGGTATACTAATATGTTTGAGACTTAAGGTGACCTAATATAGCGTTTTGAAGCTCGAGGTGACCTAATGTTCCTAATTCAAGGTATCATAATGTGTTGATGTATGAGGTAACCTAATGTGTTAAGGATTAAGGTGACTTAATATCCTAAGATCTAAGGTGCCCTGATATGCTTAGATACAATGTGACATGATATGTTAAGGTATGAGGTAACTTAAAATGATAAAGTCCAAGGTGATCTGATATGCTTAAGTCTAAGGTGACCTGAGGTACTCATATATTTGAGGTGACATGGTGTGTTGAGGTCTAATGTGACCTTATGTGTTAAGGTCTGAGGTAGTATGAGCCCTTGTTTTTTAAAAATTGATATTTATTTTGACTTCTTAATAGATAAGTGATATGATATATAATAAGTTTTGAGATTAACTTATCATAACATGTTACCTTATTAAATATTAGATTGAAATATAATATATAATCATGTATTTTATCACACACATCAAACAAACCTTTAACAAAGTTTTATTCTTATAATCATTATTATTATTAATATATACCAACTAGATCAATCTCACTTGATTAATTAGGTATCCCTATCAATGTGATTTATAGTGTGTTGAGGTTTGAGGTGACTTATGTGTTGAGATTTGAGGTGACTTGATATGTTGAGATTTGAGGTGACCAGACGTATTTAGATATGAGGTGACCTAATGTGTTAAGGATTAGGTGACCTAATGTGTCAAATTTAAGATAACATGATGTGTTGAAGTATAAGGTGACCTAGCGTGTTGAGGTATAAGGCGACATGATGTCTTGAGACTCGAGGTGACTTGAGGTGCTGAGATCTCAGGTGACATGATGTGCTTAGATACGAGGTGAATTGATATACTTAAGTCCCAGGTGACTTGATATGCTCATACATATTTGAGGTGACATGATGTGTTGAAGTCCAATATGACATGATGTGTTGAGGTTTGAGGTGGTGTGAGTTATTGTTTTCTAAATATTGAAATTTATTTTAACTTATCATATATTATTGTCTCATTAACCTTATCTCAAAAAAATATATAATCATGTCTATAAACAACACAAAACTATCCACAGGAAAACACTTACGATAAACCTGTGTCATTAGTATTTTTCACACGCACTTTTTTTCCAAAGCACACACCCAACTCTTATTGTTTGAACAATCCCTTAACTCCACCATCTCACTCTCAGACCAAATCTCATCCCCGTTTTTTTCCAAAACAAATCCTCTCGTTGGTTTTTTAAGGTCAACCTTGCATATGTTGGACTTCATGGTTCAATGATGTAAATAAAGACAACACCACAATCATGGCAAAATGCTCTTTAGTTGTTGACCACCGTGTGTTTGATAAAATTCCTCAACTAGACATCTTTTATATCGAGTGGGGAAGAAGCTCAATTTTGCATTGTCCAATGGTGTCTACTCAAATAGGAGGTTTACATTGTCCATTTTAAGGGTTGTATTATTGTCCCGATGGTAAGGATGAAAGCAAGGATATTTCTCATCAGGTGTCTCATCTTAAAACGCTACACCTATGTAGTGACAATTGGGAAAGTGCAATACATCATGCAATTGAAAATGATCCGTATTTATCTAAAGATTTGGAGGATTTTTTTAGGGTGGTTGAGAAATGCTTATGTGGAACGTGTATGAGCATTCATGCCATGAGTCAGGAATGTCAACATCCTGATGGTCTGGTTCGTGTTACTCGTGGGACAGGGGAGGCCAGAATTCACATTATGGGTATTATTAAACCACCTACAATAGACTTAGATAACCTTAAAACAAATCAGGAGCTTGTTTTTAATGCAAGGTTTTTAGAGAGAGTCCTTTTTGCACCTATCTTCACTGTGAATAGTATACCTCTTAGGAGCCATCTTGCTTTCTTACAGACATTGAAATATTCTCTTTATATGGGGTTTCAGATCTAGGATCATTTAGTGCTTAGGTTTGAAACAACATCATATTTTGGAGTTCTTAGCTACTTGGAGAGACACATATTGTCTTTCCAAGTTAGTCGATAGTGTGTTGGTAATAGGAGAAGGATACCAAAATGAGCTCTAATGTCAAGCAACGCCTCCACAAAGTTGTTGATGGTCATTTCAGGGCGGTTGTAAAAGTGTTGGAATCATCCAGAGTTCCTCATATAATGGACGTATAATGAAGGCTTTGGAGGCTAAACACTTGTACATAACACCTCCCTTCATGCCAACCACATTGTTCTTCAAATCTCCCCTAGTGGCTGGTGCTGATACTATTTTCAAACAAATTAAATCATTTCCCAAAGGAATATATTGTTGTAGAGATGGCTTGCATGCTCAACATATAATAGATGCAATGTGTGAAGACGGTTATGTTATGGAAAGATATCTTTCATATGCCATCACTATAGTTGTTAACTTATATCTAGGAGGAAGATTTCCTGTAAGTTTGGCAGAGTGTTTTGCCTCTACACCCTTAACGTCATTATTAAAAACTGATGGTGGCATACAAAAAATTATCGTGGGTTATATTTGAAGGCGGCTAGTATCAAAGATTTCTATGAAAGGGGTCAGTAAAGATGTGACACACTATCTCAATGAATCTTAGTTTGGGGTTGAGGTATTGGGTGGTGATGATGCCATTTTGCATAATGCCAACATGGTGTTAAGAAAGCGACACGAAGATTATTTTTTGGCTATGATCACGACAGATTTCTCAAATGCTTTTAATGTGGTATATCGATTAACCCTATTGTGCAAGGTGAGGCCGAGATTCCCATCTATTTCTTTGTTGGTTGAGTTTATTTATGGTCAGGAAGCAAGGTTGTATCTTGGGGATGAACATATTATTTCATCAATTAAAGTGCAACAAAGTGACTCATTAAGGCTACTTCTTTTTTCTCTTGTGTTACACCCACTCATTTATCAAGTTAGAGACAATTGTAAGTTTCTTCTTCATGCATGGTATCTTTTGGACAGACCATTATAAGGGATTCATAAAATGTGATTAAAGTCCTTAACATCATTTAGAAGACATGTCTAGGATTAGGCATAGAATTTAATATTTGTAATACAAATATCTTTTAGCCTTCGTGTTATGGTAGTAAAATTCGTGAGGATTTCTTCTCGTCGAACATTGGGAGGTTGTTGTTGTGATTATAGTTGCTTGGAGGGACTGTTAGTCGATATGACGACTTTATCAAGGGGTTATCCATGAAAAGAGCTTCTGGGGTTATTGAGTTAATGCATATTCTACCATAACTAAGGGATCCTTAGAGTGAGCTTCTTTTACTTCGATCCTGCATGAGTATTTCCAAAAAAAAATTGGCCTAAGAGCGTGCCAACCTAATCATATGAAGGAAACATCTATTTGATTGGTAAAGAGTTGAAAAGGGTGATTAAAGACATCATGATTGGTGAAGATCCTTTCTTTGTGGACCTTCAATGGAGGGTGGCCTCTTTATCTATTGTAGTTGGGGAATTGAGTTTGTATTCGGCATGAGAGGTTGCCTCATATGCTTTTGTGGCTTCTAGGGTCCAATCTTGGATGTTACAAAATTATATATCGAGACATAATGGGGTATATGGTATGGACTTTGACTTTGATAGAGATTTGGATGGTTTTAGTGTTGCGATTCCAGAGTTTTACCTTAGAAATTTTACTAGCAAGGACATCGTCCCTCCTTAAGCATAACATATTTTCGTGAGTGCCTTTTTTAGTTAAAGTGTTCAGGACATGGTTGTAAAGTTTGACATAACCACAAATTAGAAAGTAGTTCTTGGTTGCTTACAAGCCGCACATAATCGAGATTTTCTCCTTGCTATTCATTTTGATGATTTAGGACAACATAAGTCACTGGTGGAGTAACATATTATCCTAATATACTGCCTTATGATCTCATTACTTACTATTGATGAGGTGTTCCCTATTTGTCACGAAATATGTTTGGATAAATTTGGGTAACACACGATTCATTATAGGAAGCTTTTAGACTTTAAATACCAACATGACCTTGTTAGGGATGCATGTTTGATATATTTTGACTGACAAAAATATTTATGAAGAAGGATACGTTTGTGAATTTCATGATTTACCCATGTGATGTGAGATTAACACTTAGGTCAACAGATGTTCTGGTTTACAGGTGGCTAGGAGGGAGATATGTTTGTGTAGACTTGATTGGAGTTTTTCCACTAGTGGGATTGAGGACGGAAGGTTTTACTTTGGGACAACCAACTCTCAAAGTCGACTCAAGTAAAGTATTCAAACATGAGAAAACGTATTCTGACAATCAACATATTTTCATACCATTTGCCTTTGACACTTTTGATTTTCTAGCACCTGAAACAGTTGATCTTTTTATATGAAATTTAAAAATTTATGAATAACAATGTTGTATCTTCTATATTTATAGATGTAATTTTTAAAAAGATTAATTTTACTATCCAAAAAAAGTAACAACACAATTTATTTTTCGTTTGCTCTTTTATTTCTAAATAAACTTTATTAATATATTTTTAGATCATGCCTTTTTTTCATGTACATCAAAGAAGCCTTTAACATAATTTTATACTTTTACTAGTAAAGGACCCGTACGTTTGCACGGGTTGCGAAAAGTCGATATAAATATTTAACAAATATTATATAGTTATGGTTAAGAAATTTATATAAAAATGTGTACGAATTAATAGAAAAAAATGATTTCAATAATGATTGTCATACAAATATTAATTTAATTTATCAAGTTGTAGTAGTTATCACGATATGCATAAATTTAGTAATTATTATTAAACTAAATATAGGATGGAAAAACAGATTTGATCCGTCGGGTATACCTATAATTTTTATAATTGCTAGCTTATAATTTTAATTTTACGATTTCTATTAACAAACATTATAAAATAAAACATATTATACACACAAAAAAATATATAGGTTTAATAACAAATTAAAATTGATAATAATTTGATGAATTGAATAATATTGTGTTTGTTAAATTCGTGTAGTAATGAAGAAGTTATATGCTATGGTAATTCATAAGTAATTAAATATATGATATCTAATATCTGTTCAATTTAAGTAAATATTTTGTGGGTCCGTCGGAAAAATAGGTTCAGCTCATCGGACATGCCTATAATTTTTAAATTATTTTGTATTGTAAATTTATAGATGCTATTGATATTATATCATTTTATCATCTAATAGAAAATAAATTCAAACATATGATTTTGCGATTCTCTTAAATAACAAATTTAATTTTTTAATTTTTTTTTGTAAAAGATCAATTATTTATAGTTTTACGTTTTTGTATGTATGCGCCACTGACAACTTTCATATTTTAGCCTTTAACTTCATGAATTATTGGCACGTTTTAAACACAATTTTTTCTTTTAAAAAATATATAAATTCGTTTATATTATTTTAGGATGATAAAAAAACATATTAATGAATTTTATTTCATTTTTAATTCCTAAGAGTTGTTTTGACAATATACATAAATAATAATAATAATAATCAATAAATATTGTTTTATTTTATAATAATAGTCATTGATTTTGTAATCAATTTAAAAGTTGTACATTTTTTTTATTAAATACATAAAATCTACCCCTATTTATTTGAATAGTGAAACGATTATATTTCAATATAAACATATTTTTTTCACCTATGTATTAATAGTCTTGGAACACATAGTTTAATTACTCGTAGTCCAAGTTATGCAGTTTACGTTGGTAAATGGAAACTTTGATAACATTTTACTAATGTTTTAGTAGAATTGATAACATTTTATCATAAAAATATTACTAACATTTTTTTGATTTATTAAAACTTTAAAGGTGGTTAGGAGGAAGATATGTTTGTGTAGATATTCATTGGAGTTTTTGCATGAGTGGTATTGAGAATTGAAGGTTTTATTTTGGAACAACTAGCTCTCAAGATTGATTCAAGTAAAATATTCAAACATGAAAAAATGTATTCTGACAATCAACATATTTTCATATCATTTACTTTTAACATTTTGATTTTCTAACACCGAAAGTAGTTGATCTTTTTATAAAAAATTCAAAAATTTATAAATAACAATATTATATCTTTTAAGTTTGTAAATATAATTTTTAAAAAGATTAATTTTACTATAAAAAAAACTCCTCTTTTAATATAATTTTTGCCAATGAAACAAGTAACTGAGGTGAGCTAATGTAGATTTTGGTCATTGCAGAAGTCCTCTTAACACAACAATAGCACCATTTACCATTATTAAAAAATAAATTACACGCATAGAAGTCATCCCTATATTAATTTATTAAAAACACCATAACCATAACTTTCAGCATATCCTCATCAGTGTTGACAGTGACTAAGTTGAGAAGACGATCATGCCTCTCGGTGAATGGAGAATTCTCAGGAATCCTTGAGCTAGATCCTTGAGTTGAGGAGGAATTCTCACAAGGTTGACTTGGATAGTTTTCCTGTGAAGTGAATCCATTACCTACAAAACAGGAACAAAGATGAAAATTCAAATCCTTGAAACGGTTAGTGGATGCATATGATGCTTCATGATGTTCATGATGTTATGCACAAGTATATATGTACAAACAAATCACACAAGTTACTAGTTTAGGCTTGCATGGGGTTTCATAGGTAAGTACCCTCTTGAAGTTTAGTTGGCTCAACATGTCATAGAAATAGTAACTGGGTTCTAAGGAGCTCAATATCACTGGATTATTGTCTGTGTTCATTGTTTCAGTTTAGCCACTTTACTGGAGGCTAAAATATTCCAAGAAAATAACCCTCAATGAGTGTAGTATCGAGTATCTACCAACTTCGGACTGCACCAAAGCCGGTCATCTCACTACATCCTAAAAGGACAAGTTGGTCAAGTAAAGGTTCTAAAAGTCCATTAGTGCTTCATGACATCACTCAGCGGCCCCGTATTCTCTTTGATTAA